CTCAAATTATCAAATTATAAATCTGATCTGGTAGAAGAACTATTAGCATTTCTTTCAAAATTTAAAAAAACTGTCGAATTTCTTTCAGTACTAAAAGAGCCTACTTTAAACTTGGCGTTACTTTTTAGAAGTGAAAATGAAACACATTTAATAGTAAATGATAGTGATAGTTCTGAAATTATTTCACTTAAGGAAAATATGCTAAAAAAACTTGCGTTATGATTTCCGGTTTGTAATCTGCAAGTAATATTATATAAGTATATTCTTTTATTATTTATTTAAAATTATCTAGGTATTGGCTTCTCTTTTAGATCCAAGATTTTAAAAAATGACAATTGTGTCAAAGTATTTAATAGAGCAAAATTGCTCAGCTTCATAATTTATAATAAAACATCTTAAACTTATAGAGAATGATGATAATCAGGTAGTAAATATAGCTAATGAGGATGAAGATGAATTATTAAAATCAAGTTATTTGACAAAATTGGCAAATAAACATTCAACAAATATAAATTATGATTCCAAGTTAGGTGACTTAGAACAAGAATGCCACAGTTTTCTTGGAAAACGACATTCACAAGATATGGACGTTCTAAAATTTTGAAGAGAAAAGAAGAGTGAACTTCCTATCTTTCCAGGCTCGCCAAAAAAATTATTTGCATTCCGGCGACTTGCACACCTAGTGAAAGAGTTTTCTCTATCGCTGGATTGACGTTAAATTCAAGGAGATCATCATTATGTCCCAAAAATTTAAATAAAATAATTTTTATACATGATAATTAAATTACGAAATCGATTTTGGATATAATAAGTTTTCTATTAAATGAATATTAAATAATATGCCGAGATATCTGTAGAATAGTGTATATTTATTTGTTTTTAAATAAAAATCGGCGCGCCGCCGGCCGTCGATTAGATTTTTTTAAAATTGCGCCGGCCGCCGATATTTCGACGGCGCACAGGCCTAGTAATTCTAATTATCAATTTTTATACCAATATATTTTTATTTTGTCGGGTTGTAAAACTATTATTATATCTTTTTTTCAATTAATTGGTCAAAGCTAAGAATAATTTTAAAAAAACAATTAAAACTATCTTTGTTCACGAATTTAATAGAACCCAAAAATAAAAACAAATATTTTTAATTAAAAAAATTAAATGTTTTAAAGGATTAGATATATGATATAGACAGTATTAAAATTTAGGTATTTTTAATCTATTTTTTTTTAAATTTTATAATAATTTTACCCATTTGTACAAAATATGCCCATACAAACCTTTATAACTCAAATAATTACATTTGGACTTTTAATAATAAAATCTTTTTTTTTAAATTTATCAACAAATTTAGGAAATATGTTTATACATCTAAGAAAATTTTTTATGGCAAAATAAATAGGTTGAATTAACCGTTATTTTACACGAATTAACATTTTCGGCTTAAACTATATATGTAATATGCCGAGGCTTTCACTATATGTAAATTTCAAATTCAGTTCAGAAAGGGTTAACATTCACGTAGTTTTATTTAAAGCATATTTTAATTTATTAATTATTTTTTTCCCCTAAAGTATATTTATAAATTATAACTCCTCTCCTATAAAATGTAATTATAAATTATTTCAACTTATACAATTGTAACCACTTTGCTTTGAATAAATTATTTTAGTTTTAATAAATTTTAAAAAAAACTTTTTATTTCAGCACTCATTTTTTATTGTATAACTTTTTATGTAATAAAAACAAAAGTAATTAATAAGTTGTAATTACTGTCTTCTTAATTGATTTTTTCGAAAATGGATATTACATAATGAATAATTTAATTAATTTAAATTATGATTCAAAACTAAGAACTTGCCACGGCAATCAAGTGGTTTATCTGAATTTCTATTAAATATTATTTGATACAAAAAACTGACATTCCATTTATTTTGCAATAGTCTGCTTTTTACTTTTTATTTCAACCCGGACTAGAGCCTCGGCAAAGTTTTAATTTTGGTTTCCTACTAATTTTTGTAAATGATGATTTTATTTTTTCTGGCTAAATCTAGTTTTCCATGATTCGGGGTTAGAAAATCAAAATAGTTTTGACAGATATTATGCGAAAATGGACCAATCTTTGGACAACCCCTTCAACTAACACTTCAATCACAATATTGCTCAACTTAATTAGAAGAAAGCATAAATAAATTAACTCACGCCTCAGTGCTTAGTGAATTGTATTTGGTGTGAGCCTGATTCAGCCGTTAACCTTTACCCACCTTTAATAAATGCTCCTCTTATTAGCGTCAATAAAAAATTTTCCTCTCAGTGCTTATAATTTTTTCAACTTAATTTAAACATCGTCCTATATGCGAGCATGAACCAATTTTTAGACAACCCTTCACAACCCTAGGGTATTTTGAGACAAGGGCAAATTCTGTACCATTTTGTAAAATCAGTCATTGACAAAATTTTAAGGTCAAATGCAGGGCTTAGGTATATATTTGCCTTACATTTTACTTCTTGCATTTTAAATGGTATAAAGGTGTTTAGACATCCGGGGTGAACTGACACCGATATGCCGGACAGGATTTTTATAATTTTCTGAACGTAAACTATAACCGATCTTTTATATTAAATCGCTAAAAGGAGCGAACCGAACATACATATTTTTTGAACCAGTTTAAAATTGATTTGTTATATATGTATAAATATTATAATTTATGACCATGTAATTCAATGAGTAACATTTTCTTGTGTTTTTATTAATTTTTTAATGGTAAATTTTTTAAATTTCGCTAGATTATTTAAAATAATATTTTAATTTTTTGTTGCTTGATTATATTTAAATTTAGATATTAATTAAAATTTCAAGATAAAATTATTTTCATATCATACAGTAATAATTAGATTTTTTTGTAAAACATTTCCATAAATTTGTATTATCTTATTTAAAAAATTGTTTAACTTGTCATATCATACAGTAATAATTAGATTTTTTGTAAAACATTTCCATAAATTTGTATTATCTTATTTAAAAAATTATTTAACTTGCTGTAATTGTTTTTTTTTTAATTTTATCGTGGAATGTTTTACAACAAATCACATTATCACTGTAATTACATATTTTAAGTTGAACTAAAATATATAATACAATTTAAATTTACAAATATTAAATCTTAGTTATTTTAATATTGTAAACAATTATTAGATTTGGAACATATAATACTTCTAGGCTAAGAACATATCAGAGCATTCTAGTATTTGAGAAATTAAACATTTAATATACTTATATATTCATCTATTATTTTAAAATATGGAAATTTTTCCAAAATAATTCATACAGTAAGTAGACAATAAAATTTATAATGGACAAACTTTCGAAATATCAAATATCTAAATTTTTAGAATTTATTTCAAAGCACTCGATTTTTAAATGGCTAGAACACTTTGGTATGTTATTAGCCTTATATGTTATATTCTTGAGCTACAAAGTCCAGACTGTGGGCCAAAAAATTAAAAAATATATATAATGGGCAGAGATGAGCATAAAATAAATGGACTTGGGCTTAACAATTTATATATAAAGAATCAGGCCAGGCCTGCAAATCTCTTACTTTTTTTATTATTTTAATGAGGCAACCTAGACATTCAAATTTTGATATATTTTTTTAATTTCCAGCCAATATTTTGATTAATATATTATTTGGAAATAAATTAAAATATTTGTTTTTTTATATTTTAAGAGCTGTCTAACTAAAATACAGAATCCAATAAATTTACAAAAAAATTAAACAAATTATTTATAATATGATCTAATAATAAATACAGATATCAAAATACAAGTGATTTATAAAATGGTTGTTATATATCCCATAGAGCGGATACAAGAGCCTTAATTGACATTGAGAGAAGATATAGATATTAAAAATGTGCTAGCCATAAAATTTGTCTAAAAAATTCAAATGGTCCCAACCGCCTGTTTGCAAGATGCTAACAGGCTAAGAAATCAATGAAAAATTGTCAAGCCAGATGGATCAAAATACAATTAAATAATGGGCTGGGCAATCTTTTACAAATAATCTTAATGGGTTGTGAAGATCTCTGTTTTATTTACTGTGAATTTTTATTATGCTTTGTTATAGTGTGTATTATATATTTTCATAAAATTAATTCGTGATTTAGTATGTTTCCTTATATTTTTATTTATACAAATTTAATATAAATATTATAAAAATTTTAAAACCAAAAAAAAATCTTTACTTTTCTAAAACCATAACCAAATCAGACCATAGTTTAACCATAACTTATATTTTTATGCCTGAATGCAACCAAATCAGAACCTTTTAAGATAATGGCTTTGGTTCCTGCAAGGTTTATAATAAAATGATACTTTAAATAATGCAAATTGGTAAAATTATAAGTCAGCTAGTTTTTATGATAATTTCTCATTTTTCCAAAAAATTGTTTATTATAATTTATGAAACAAGCAAATATAAAAAGAAGAGAAGTATATTTTATCAAAAAAAATATAATTTTTAAGAGATAGCCTCAAGGTCAAGAGAAATTGGAAGGTTTATTTTGATGATTAATTCTTCTAAAATTAACCAAGGTTTAGCAATCTTATAAAAAGAAAATCTGGTTTGATGTTAATTGACCTCTGAAGTGTCTCTAGATATTTAATTAAGTTTATGACATCTATCATAGTATATAGATTATAAAAATTCTAGAGATGGTCAGATTTTTTTAACACTTCTATCTAGTAGTTAAAAAGCCCAATTTGGGTCGATTTTTAAAAATACCCCAATTAAGATTCTAGCCAAAATAATATTATGTAAGCCTGAAGATTTTGCTCATATATAGAATAAAGTTTCTACTTGCCAAATCTCTAGGATTACATATTATCTTGGCTATAATCTTAATCGTGCCGTTTTTAAAAACAATCAACACTAGATTCCATTTAACAAACTTTTTCTATTAAATAAAATTCATTTTTATGGTTCAATAAAATAGTTTACCTAATAGTCGTTGGGTTTCATTCGAATCTAAATACAAGTCTAATTTGCAATTTATAAGATTAATAAATCTCAAAATTAAATATAATAAAATATACATTTTTCATATCTTTTATAAAAATAAAAATTTACTAGTTTTTAAAAAATGTGACAAACGAAATTATGGTTATTGATAATTTATGAACGGCATAACATATGATTAAAATACGGCAGAAAATATTTCGTCAGATGTTTTCCAGTATACTTGTATTAATTGACTAAACTAAACATTACCTACGCCATTAAATTATGGAGTTTTTTATCAATAAAATATGTATATAATTCTTGATATTAAACACATTCTTTCTATAAACGTAGACAGCGGAGAAAAGAAACACCCCCTCCCCCCCCCCTTCCACGTAGCTAAATTGTTAAAAATATCAAAGAATTCCATGAATTATGAATTGCTAAATATTTTATTTTAATATCAAATAGGTTTTTTTTATATGATTATTTTAAATATGAATCAAAATATGTTATAATAATAAAAAAAAATTTGAACAGGATTTAAATAGCTTTTGTTGTTGGAACTTAAGTATGCTTTCAATGAAGCTGATTTAATTCCATTTGTGTAAGGCAATAGTAGATCTTGGTCGTAGTATTGTTAAAGGACTTGATTTGGGTCGATTTTTATAAACGACCCAATATGAATTTTAGCCAAAATAATATTATATAAACCTAGAGATCTTGCTCATAGATGGCATATGGGTTTGAACTTATATTTGTCAAATCTCAAGGCATATAATATCATTTTGGCTAAGATCATGATCGGGTCGGTTTAAAAAATCGACCTAAATCAAGCTGTTTAATAACACAGTTGGAGGTAAAAATTTTCCTGGGTTCATATGTAACTTTGCGGATATAACCGAATTTTGAAAAAAGATAAAGCACGGTGACTAAATGTATGAATGTGGCGAAGATTAGGAGTATATACATATGATCTTCGGATATTTCCGAATATTTATCTATCTTATCTTATCGTTGAGATCAAATATTTTTGCCAATCGATTGGTGGGAGCCGAGGGAACAATATAGTAATCGTTCAGACAACTAATCTCTTTCAAGGGAGTGATTTGGGTAATGCCATCTCGACGTTTTGCATCAGATTTGAAGAGAACGAGAAGTTCTAGGATCGATGGAATCTGGACAAGTTTAAGGGCACGTTGAATAATGACATTTAATTGATTGTGTCTAGGGATAAGCCCTAAGAATGGCAGTACAGGTTAATATTTTCTCAAGTCAACAGAAGCACTCAACCAAAGCAAAAGTGGAGTTGTTGGGTAATTGAACGGTTGAGCGGATATCGATTTCATGTATACGCTCATTTTTAGCGATTTGCAAATGTAGATTGATAAAAGGCATAGCATTGAGGAGTTTGTGCCCTTAGGTATTTAGCAGTGACAAAAAAGGAGTATGGAGGGAATGAATGGCTGATAGTAATTTAAATGCCCAGAGTCCCATTCCTTTTTTTTTTGCAAGTGGCAGGTAAATATGTGCTATCATGAATCCAAGATCTCTATAATCGAATGCCTCAATATAAAACGAATCCTCCATGGTGGAGTGAGCGCTAACGGTAAGTTTTGTCAATAAGCTTCTTGAGATAAAAGTAGTCAACGAAATAAGAAGATATTAGCCAAGGACTTTGTTAGAAGAGAAACTTGGGCCTAAGCAATTTTAATATAAATATTTCTCCACTGTTTATTAACATTTTATCCACAAAAAAAATATAAAGTGAATTTTTTACATTTTGTAAAACTGAATAAAAAATGGATAGAAGAAAATTTTTTGCTGCAAATGCCTATATAAACTACAAATTCGAAGGTATCTGCATCGGGCCTAATTTTTCAAGCCCGGCTCAAAATTTTTTTAAAAAGTTCTGTAGGGCCGGGCCGAACCCGAAATTATTTTTGAAAAATTGACGGGCCCAGCTCGAATTTATTATAAATATAGAAATTAATTTTTATAAATAACTCAAAATAAAAGATACATGTTATATGGCGCCTAATTTCTATAAGTAAAATCAAATATTTATATTTTACATTAAAAATTCAACATAAAATTGATAAATTTAGATATATTTTGAAAAATTTTTAAGGTTCGACCCGACCTAGCCCAAATTTTCTTAAAAAATATTAGGTCCGATCCAGCCTGAATTTTTTTTAACATTTAGGCCCGACCAGCCTTAACCCTACTTTTGCAGATCTCTAAAGTAAACTGCAAATTCTTTGGTAAAAATTTTATATTTATTCTCTATTAAAATATTATTATAATTTAATATTTCTGAGAGAAAAATATTTTATTTTATTTTCAAAAGCAAAACGAAAAAGTGTAACAAGATAAATATAATTATCTCCTCTATATTTAAAAAAATATATAAATAATAATAGAAAAATTTAGGTTATCTTAAATATTACAAAATAAAACATCATTTTAGTTAAGTTTTGAATAAAAAAGTAAGAGTAAAATAAATAATAAAATGTTTTGAATAAAATTTAATTTGAAATATATATAATATTCATTCTAATATAAAAATTCCCTCTTTTATCAAATCAGCTACACTACGATTGATTGTTATTCAACCCCTTTGTATGTCGTCTATCGCCTTATTGATTGTTGAGCTTGTTTGTTGCCGTTTGTCAGTTTCCAGCATTTCCAATCAAAAAAGTCTTATAATTATTATGTAAGCTTTAAATATTAATTCTATTCAATTTTATATTTCGCGTTTTATATTTCAATTATCACATTTTAATTATAGTGTTTATCATTGTGTTCGCATTTATTTTAAATCTAAATATTTTTTATAGTGTTTTAAATCCTTTTTTATATCAATTACAAAATTCTCAAACCATTTAGGTAATATTTTATTTCTAATAGGTTTTTTATTATTTTGACTTTAAACTTGAACTTGTATATTTTGATCTTGAATTTAATTTTGTATATGCTCATCACTTCTTCCCCTTCCAAAAAAATATATTCTCGGTTTTGAATTAATAGTATTATTACCACTTTTTATATTTTTCGAATCTGTTGCAATATTTTTATTGGTATTAATATTTGTTGGTCTCTTTTTTGATGATGTTTCACCTTCTATTTAAAATAAATTTTCTATATTAGCAATTATATCACTTTTTAATTCTGCCTCTTCTATTTTATTCCTAACACTCTAAACTTCGCTTATCGTAATATTATTCTTAGGAGAAATATTTTGACAAATATTAATATTTAAAGATAATATTTTCACTTTTTTATTACTCTACTGTTATTAGGGAACTTACATTAATAATTTAACACTCGCGTACGGCTTACCCAACTGAGGAACGTTTCATTTTTATCTAGAACGGCCGCATTAAATTCAGTTAAATATGATGCATGTGATCTCTGGGTGAAGTAATCTAAATTTTTTAATTAAGACCGTTGGGTTGATGAAATCCGGCTGTGAGCATATAGCTTACCGTCTTATATATTCATCGTCAAATAACTTCCTAGTAAATGAACCTGCTTTTTCGATAGTCATTTGTATATCTTTAAATATAGCCTACGATTTACTCAAAAATACTTCCACGTTACCCAAAAATATTGGAAATTCTAGATTTATATTATTATTATTGATTAACGGTTTAATTTTTATTTTATTTTTTTAATATATTCATTATACAATTTATTATATCATATACAATACTATGCTAATTATTTATTTTATATCATTTTACCTATATAGTGAACCAATCTCCGTGTGCATCCCTACATCGCTTGACTTGAATTTGTAGATATACCAAAATCATGTCCTCAACGCTCTCTTAATAAAAGTGCACTATTTGTTTTGTCTTATGAATATTTCGTCTAACACCTCCAGAGTTTGCGACATAAGTGTCTTTTATATCATACTTAGTTGGATATTTCACTACAATTATTTTAACGATGTGATAATTGCTGCCACCAAAATATTTTGAGAGAAAAGTATTTTATTTTGAAAAAACAAAACGAAAAAGTATAACAATTAAATATAAAGATAGAAATAACCTTTATTTTTCATCATCCAAAACAAACAAAGAAATCAATTTTTTATAAAACAAAAATATATTATTATAATATATAATAATACTATAAAAAAAAAGAATGGAGATGGTGTGGCGCAGGGAAACAAAAATGAAAAAGGGACGTAAGTGTTGTTTAGGATAGCTCTTTGGCTAGAAGACTACCATTGAAACTGATATAATTAGCTTTGAGAATCGCTATGGATAGTCGTTGACGAAGAAAAAAACCCTCTCGAGGTTCTTCTGAGAGTTTGCTGATTTGTGATCCTAAGTTTTTGAAAAATGCTAAGACGAGTTTGCCGAAGGTGCCAAGAGTGGTTGATATGATTGTGATGAAGCAATGATCGTTCATTATTTCTGTGTATTTAGAAGTTTTAAGTTGTTCCTTCTGGTCAAGGATGTTGATGGCGTGGTTGGATGGGGCCAAGGGGTCAATACAGGAATAGTCCCATACCAAAAGTTGGCCTCTCCTCCATGGGATTTGAGAGATCCCGTCAGGACGTTTACCGTCAGATCTAAAAAGACCCTGTGGTTCTAGAGTGGAAGGAATTTGGGCGGATTTCAGAGCATGTTGGATGATTGTATTACATTGCTTGTGTCTGATGAATCGTCCATTGCAGGAGCGACAATGTAAACTATGTCTCATCTTCTATATATATAATAAAATATATTTGAATAATAAAAATATAAAAACTAAAGTTATCTTAAATATTACAAAATAAAACATCATTTTAGTTAAGTTTTGAATAAGAAATTAAAAGTGAAATAAATGATAAAATGTGTTGAATAAAAATTTAAAATATAATATTTGTAATATTCATTCTAATATTCTAACAGATTATGAATATGGAATATTATGATTGTGTATCGGATTTTATATTATGTATGAATATTATTTGTATGGCAATAAAGGAATAAATGAATCTCAAAATATGTATATACTTTAATAAACAACTTACATTAGTAGATATATTCAATAATAGAGTATAATATACATTAATAATTATATTTTCTTTAATCTATTAACAGATGGCAAATTATTACTATTGACAAGTCTATGACCAACGTGCAAAATAAT